TCTTTTTATTTTATTATAATCACGTTGGTAATTATGATCATCATTATTGTACTACCGAAGTACTACCGAAGTACTACTGAGCTATTAATAAAACATTCTGGAACACTAATTACGTTTAAAATATTTCCATTCTTGTACTTTAATTATTTCTTTGGCCTCGTTTGCAATCCCTTCAATAACCAAAGTACATGACATGTACTCTGTTTCATATAGTCTTGATAATACAATATCTTGTAAAACTAGTCCTTTTCTAACCAAGTCTTGAAGTGCAAATTCTGTGAGTTCAATAGTGCTCAATAGTTCTGGCTTTTTTGATTTTTTAATATCTTCTTGATCATAAAATTCTTTCAACTGTTGATAGCCAAATTTTTTCATTCTAGCAGCATTAGATTGTCTAAAAACACTAACGACATCGGCAGGTGTGATTTGGTGATCATAGGTCGTGGTTAAGACTTCTACACATAGTAATTCTACAATATCGAATGTTACATCACAGATACTTGGATTATCTTTGATGCGGCATTGACAATTATCACATTTTCTACATTCACTAGGCTTGTTATCCCCATTCCAAGCATGGTGCTCTATAAGTGCTTTCATTCGACATTCATATTTTGTATTACAAAAAAAAAGCATCTCGAATATATCTTTTCATTTCTTTGACAGATATATTTGCTCAGCTGCTTCGAGCTGAATAGAACCTTTTGGCATACTAAAATAATTTTTAAGATATATTCGTATTTGAATGCTGCTAAGAGAAAATGACTCTTCGGACTTTCAATTATATTTTGTACTGGACACAATCTATCTAATTTATTAAGGATTGTGCCCGGTGCAAAATATAATTGAAAGTTCAAAGGATTATTTCCCTTGGCAGCACTCATTTGGTGTTTATAACATTTAAACTTACCTTTCACGATTTTCTGCAATAATTCCATAGTTTGTTTTTATATCCTTATTAGTATAAAATATCACGTATCGGGCATCACAGTGGTCACAGCCTGCTCGCCCTGATAACTGAATTAGATCAGCTAAAATAAAGGTTAGTTTATATTTTTAGTTATCTGTTTTAACAAATTATACTTACTAAAGCTCATTGGAAATGTATAATGCAGTATCAATCTAATTTCCTTGTTATTTATGCCTATTCCGAAGGCTGAAATCGCGATCATTACTCTAATTTCACTGTGTTTCCATTTTTTTATTGTTATATCCTTTTCCATGTCTTTCATCTTTCCATAAAAGTTATGTGGGGAAGCTTTTTTTGCATTTGTTCCAATATCTTATTACAAAGGTTTATATTTGCACAGTATATAATTATTTTACCCTCAGCTACTTCATTAATTAGGCTTGCAATATCATTGAAAATAGTGCCATTCACATCATGTCTTTGCCAAACCTCGTATTTAATTTCTTCTCTCTTTTGATCATTGCTTCTAATAATGGTTAAATTTGTATCTAACAATTCCAAACTTCTCTTAATCTCTTGCATATCATTGTATACACATGTGGCAGTTAGTATTAATATAGGTGCAAGAGGGTATCATTCTTTTAAGATACCTAGTTTACTCCAAGAGTCTCTTTGTTTGGCGTATATTAGATTTATATTTATAATTTTTAAACTTATCATTGTGGTGAAATTAGAGTATTTTGACTAACTATGAAGTACGTTATTTACTATTTGTTTTTTGACATTTTTTTTTTGTAAAATCATATAGATAACGTCTAACCCAACTTTTTACAGAAAGATGGGTTAGACGTTTTCTATATAATTTTATAATAAGAAATATCAAAAACAAATAGTAAATAATGTACTTCATAGTTAGTTAAAATTTTCTAATTTCACAAATTTGCCGTGATGTTAATAATTTAGAATTTACCTGAAATACGCAAAATCAAGTACACAATGGACCTCATCTACAACAAATTGTATTTTCCTATCATTGTATAGCCATTTAAACAAACTGGTAATTGTCTTATTTAAAACCAACTTTTCTGGTGTAATAAACAAAATCTAAGTCCAACCAAGTGCTATTTTATGAAACATTTTTTCTTCTCGAGTTACAGTTTCATTTGACGATGTCCAGAGTCCAGCGCAAGGGATTCCATAATCGATTAGTTCTATCTTGCAAGTAAGTAATATTTTAAATATCAAATTAATAAATTATCGATTATTTTTATAATCAGGCTTAATTAATACTTACTACTTGATCTTTTATTAACGCTGTTAATGGGCTTATAACTACCGTTAAACCATTAAATATAATAGCAGGTACAATATAACAGAATGATTTTCTACCTCCTGTTTTCATAATTAGAAATGTATTCTTTTTATTCTCATAATAATTTATAATTGTTTTTTGTTAATTTTCATATATATTTTTAAAGTTAAATATTTTAGTAGCAATTAACGATATAGTATCGTTTAGTGAAATTGGCAAATATGTTAAATTAGTGTCTCTTCCTGATGCATCAAGAATTCGATCCCACCAACCAAAAGTTATATAGGTCTAACACAATTTACAGTATCCAGCTAATGTATTTTTCTTAAATACATGACATCCTTTACATCTAATATAGCTTTCGAAATCACGTATTAGAGGTGCAAATAATAGATAGTAAGTACAATTTTGTAGCCACTCTTCTGTAAAATGTTTATATGGAACCAATTCCTTATAAATAAATTTTATATCGAAGTAAGTAAATTTTAAATATTATATTAATTAATATAGGATTTTTTCTAACAAAATGACTTTACATTGTTTTAAAAAATCTTTTTGTTAGCAGAAATCTTATATATTGTTTAGCACTGCTTATAATATCCTGGGCCTTATTCAGATTTTTATTTTTAAATTGATTAGTACCCATAATAGAATCGGGTACTATAAACGAATATAATTATACTCAAGTTTTATTTAAGAATTAGGCCGATAAGGACGATAAATATATTGTAAATGGGAACGAGTTTGGAATTTCTTAGTTAAAATTAGTATTTCAAGGTTGAGTTTATTTTATATAAACACTATACCCTTCTAAGAAATTCCAAATCTACTTACAACAAATATATTCAGATTTTAATTATAAGAGATACTGTTATAAACAGTACTAAATGGCAATTACCTGATCAAAATCAAACCCGGTTAATTCTTTTTTATTATTTGCATATTTTTTAGCTCGTGTCTCATTTCGATTTCTGATTGTTGCTTTGTTTTGTGATCGTTGGTTTTCTTGTTTATCACCTATCTTATTAATATTATTAAGATCTTCTTTACAAAATTCAATATTAGTGTAGCTTTCCCGGAGACTTTGTAAAACTGTTGAATAATCTTTGTTATAATGAAGAATAGCTAATGCATGTCGGGTCTCATAAGAACTCCAATAATCAATCTTTTTATTGAGGTAGACAAGCTTCACTCTATTGAATGTCTCATTTATTGAAGTTCTAATATCTGTAATTAGTCCTTGGCCTTTAGGCAAACGAAAAATAGATTTTAGCATAGTTCGAAAATTTTCAATATTAGTATCGGACATTCCTTGAAGTGTTGGTGCTTGTAAAACGATTTCAGGGTTATCACGAATCCAACATACTTGTAGCCAATAGTTAGTATGATTATTACATAAATGATTAATAAGGCCTTCAACTTGCATTTTTTTTAATTCTCCTTCAGAAGGACTAACTAATTTTGAATCTTTCTTTCGTAAACTAGCTTTAAAAATGCAGCTAGTAAAGTGCTTCATGATATGTTGTTTATATGAATGCCAACAATAATTTGTTTTAGAGGCTAAATTTGAGGTTAGTTAGATACAGTAGTTATATATTATATATCATTTAATTTATATTTCTGCGACATATATACGGCTGTACCCTGTGGTGATTTTGGATGCCAAATTTTGATTTATACCCAGGTATATAAGTGTGAGGTATCATACTTATATACTTGGACATGTAATAATAAAAACATTAAAATATAAAAGTATTCATACGGTATATCTTATATGAATACCCAGGTACATGATATAAACTAGGAATACACATGTCACAGAAATACGGTATACATATTAAAATATAATTTACTTAATGCTTTTCTTATATTTTTTGTTATATGCTTTAAATCCGCAAATACTTAGTTAACTATTGAAATCTCAACAAGAGTTTTATTCGTATCAAGGTCACCATCAACACATATATTAATTAGAAAATCTTCTTTCTCTATTATAGGAATTATTTTACTAGCTAATGCATCAAGAATTGCGTGTTCCATATGTTGAGAGCTTTTATTGTGATTTCCTTGAATTATAATATGCTCTTGTCCCATTTTTTTATTTTTATATATTCGAGGTTTTTGGACAGTTTGAAAGGCAATAATTGGTTTGTAGTAATCTTTTTTGAATTAAAATTATTTTTAGTTAATTTTTTTAATATAGTATAATTTCCTTAACATAATTCTAACAAAATCAACTAATATTTATAATTTTGTCTGTTATGTCTTTTAAAAACGATGGTATATGAAGTATATCTAAAACTGGCTTAAAAGTAGATACTTTTGGTATTTACCAAAACTGAAAGTTTACTAAAAGTGCTTTTGACAAGTGCTTAATTTACTGAAAGTCAAAAGCGTCATAAATAGTAAGTAATATCGTAGTTTTTAAATTTCATTAATATTTTTTGGGATTTTTAGCATTTAGTAAGACTTTCTTTTGCCTTTCGTTTTGGCATATTGAATTATCAAAAGTATTTCAGCAAGTCAAAAATACTTTTAGAGCCAATCTTAGGTACGTTATGAGATAATATGTTAAATATATCTCCGACATCTGGATATAATGACATCTTTTTATACTGTCATTTTTTTTAAAAAATTTAATATAAAATGTCACTATATCGACATTTTGAATTTTTTTTACTAATATCTTAAAAATATCAATATAACCAGAGTAACGTGTATGACACTGACTATAATATCCCAAGTATATTATTTTATAAGGATCTTGGATCTATATACATATATATATAATAATACCCTTTTCGATTTTCTGAATCATGAACCCATGAGTTGTAACCAAGTCTTTTTCGTAGAATATTATTACTGAGGTACTGTAGTTAGTGCTATACAGAGCAAATTTTCATAGTGAAATAGGTACCCAACAAGATATTCATTTTTTTTAAATCTTACCTTCAAGCTCAAGATAGCATATAAATTCGCCACTTGCCTGGTTTGCATTTTTTCTGTATGACCAAAATACATCAAAACTAATCAGAAGTATTTTTTTATAATCATTTGGCTCCAATGTAGCTAAATTTAATTGGTTAGTAGAATTTTTTTCAACATGTTTTATGTATTTTATAATTGCATTATTTGTTGATAAATTTGCTAATTCGATAATTTTTGGAAAAAAAGAGCATTGATGATCATGATAAATCTTTTTAGAGCACTGCGATGTAATTTCAATAGTTGCCAAAAAAACTTTAAATTGTATGTCAAGAAGTTCCAGCGCCCAGTCCACCTGCAGCTACAGCCTTTGAAAAACATATATCCTTTTTTTCATTAGAAATTTCCATTGTAGTTTTATATTCTTTATATTAAATAATACACTTAATTTTAAAACCCGCAACTATTAATTGACAAATTCAGTTTGTAGCCAAATAATTTCCACAATTGCTGCATAGTTTCTCGAGAACTAATAATAAGTATTTTTTTGTATCTACTAATATTGTTAAACCGAGATTCCATTTTTCAATTAGATCATCAACTGTTTTATATAATGTTTTATTATAAGATAAATCTGTATCTTGATTTAGTAAATTTGTTAGGTTGGTAATTTTTTCTTTTAATTGTTTAATAGTTTTTTTGGCATTGTTTAATTTATCGTTAACTGTATTATGTTTAACAATTAAGGCTTGAATTTCTTGAGGTGATAGATGTTTTCTATATTTATTAAGAACTACACCTTTTCTTATAGGAATTTCTTCTGTTTCTATAGCCGATTGTAATTGAAATTTTATACAGGTAAGAGAATTTTTTAGTGCTTTTTTGGAATTAAATGCTTTTACGGTTTGTGAATAACGATTAAAAATATTTGGATATTTTTGTGTTATTCTTTCTTGTAAGAATTGAATGTTGGTCTTATTTGTAAGTCCCAAATACCATAATAATAAATGATTATTAGGCCAATTATATTTATTAAAACATGTCTTAAAACAAATATTATCTTGTCCACTATTTTTTAATAATTTAAAACTTTCATCATTCGCATAAAAATACCATTGGAAACTTAATTGATTATTGGCATCTTTTATAATTGAAAGTTTAAAAAAATTATTACTAATTTTTGTATATATTGTATATCCTGGCAGCAAAGGTACCCATATTGTTTCATCTTTTTTTGGCTGATATGCATAATATTCTGCAAGTTCATTTGCATTGGAATTATTTTTATTAATTTGTATTACGACAGGTGTAAGAAGTTTATGAAAGTTCAAAACTTCTAACTCATGTGAAATTTCACGGACAAGTACACTTTTATTGTCTCTTTGAATTATTATTCGTTGAATATATAATTCCGACTCTTCAGAGACAAGTTTATTATACCATTTATTCATTATGCAAATGTGTATATTTATATATATATATCAATATCACAAACCAACAAAAATGTCAAAATGTGAATTGTTTCTATATACGTACAATTTATACTAACCAATAATATAATATTGGGTGTAAGTAAACACCTGTATATAGTGTAGAATGGGTTTTATTTTTAAAACTGGTTTTAGATGTTCGTAGTTATCATACTCGCGATTCGTATGACCTGTGCGAAATCATGTCATTTCTCTCGCGAGATAAATTATTTGATTAGAAAATTTTAATGAAATGAATTTGTCACATGGCTCGCAAGAAGTTGCACAATATATATAACCTTGTGTGTGTAGCGAGTTCAAGATTTTGACCCTTTATTTTCGAAATAATGCACAAGTGGACACTTTCGAAAGTATGCACATGTCATAGGACGACATTTGTATGATTGGTAGATCTACCCGTGATTTCCCGTGATAATTAACCAATCAAATCAATCA